TATAAGGGATGCCGCAGTTGTAGAAACAGAAAAAGGGAAAGATGTAAATCATATGTATAAACAATTCTCAAATATGTTTGAATGTCTCAAACTTTTTGATGGCATGAGATTCAAGAAGAAAGAAAATACTGTCGTTTTCCAGCGATTAATGAGAAGATATCAACAGAAGAAAGTGTCACAACAAATGCGACGAAAGTGTTAAACAATACCACAATTGATAAAAGAAATAATTATTTGAATTTTACTAAAATGGGATGTGAATGAGTGAATGATAAACATCAACTATCACTCAATCATACCTTATTTATTAATTATTTTATTCAATGCACATGTATTTGTATTATTTTACTTTATTGTTGCCTTCTAAGACAATATGAAATAAAATAATATACAATTCGCTAATATTTTTAATTGTATTATCGTCAATAATTTATCGATATATACTATAGATATACCTTTACAGTTGTATATACAGTATAGTTTATACAGTACAGTACTGTATATACAACAAAGAATAAAACCATCACTTGTTAATCATTATTGATTATAATGTGAATGAAAAATAAAATATATTTTGTAAAACAAAATTTAAATGATTTTATTTTGGTTATAAAGCATACATTTAAAGGATAAGTATTATTACATTTGATTTAACAAAATCTTTTTCTGTGAAATGTTTAAGCACTGTTGTGAAACAATTATTAATTAAAAACTACTACTACTTATACTATTTATATTGGTTATCATTATTCAACCACATTTTTGTTCTATTTGTGTTTAAAACAATTTTGCAGTTTTATGGGTGATAAAATATTTTTCTATACAACAATTTATCCGGAATATATTTCAAGAACTGCCTACAACTAGAACAAATTATGCCTATTCAAATTATTAACCACAATTCAGTATGAATAATGTGGTTTAATAGATCGTTCGGCCCCAGGCTCTGGTCAGAACTGGACTGACACTACAACTTCATTTACCACTCAAATACAACACAATTCTCAATCAAGAATTAAATCTGATATCTATTTAATTTATAATTTGATATTAAATTAAGTTATTCCGCATAAAAGTCTCTTATTATGAGATTCTTAATTACCATAAGACACGTGGGATTCTTTTAAAACTATAATTATATGTTTTATATTTAAGTTTATCTGAATCTAATAATTTATTCATTAATATTATAATGAAATGGTGAGAAAAGAAGCCATAATTAATGAGTTTTACCACATATTATTGAAACATTATTCATTATATCATTTATATAGAAATCATATAAAACTACGGAACAAATATTGTGTAAACTTAATTCAAAACTAAAACTTTGAAAATCAGATTGTGTCAATCTTAATACAGAAACATGAATTATAAAACAAGTCTATTCATTGTTTTAATTATTACTATTTGTAAAGTGTATGTAATTAAAAATGAAAGTATCTATTGTACAACTCATCCATTAATGCGTAAAATCACGAGTCAGTGAGTTTTGCAATATTTATCTAATATTTCATTCTTTGTATTGATTTTTAAATAATATAATATCAAAATAATTTTTATTAAATCACAAATCTTAAGGTTTCAAATCTTTTTATTTATTTATCAAACTTTTTTTTAAATCTAACTATTTATTGAAAATAATTGAGTTTCAGTTTTTGTGAGTTTTAGAGTTTCACTTTTAGAGTTGCCCCTGTGTAGTTGTTTAAAATGTAAAGCTCTCATAACACATATATTGAGTGTAGACACAGTTGCGAAGTATATGTGGCCTAATGGTGTAATGGTTAGGACGTCGGTTCTTGAGCTGTATTGCCTAAGATCGAACCCCGTCCTGCCAATTCCTTTTTTTTTGTTTTTTTTAAATTTAAGTTTTGATTTGTATTTTGAGAGAGAGAGGGCTGAAACTGTTATTACTATGGGCTAGTTATAATAAAAATAAAGTGTTTGAAATGATCTTATAACTAGAGCTATGACTTTAGTAAAAGTCTTTACAAAAAGCTATATAATAAACATTTTCTCAACATAATTACATTGTTACATAAAGTACAATATTGACTATGGCAACACACAACTTTGACGAGTCTGTATTAAATGACTAATTGATTCCTAGCCCTGTTTATAATCATTCATTTCAAAAGAGTTAGCTTTGCTCAACTACTCTGCCTTTGCCTGCTCTCATAGACGATAAATTATAATTTTTATTAGTTCTTGGTTTACATACAATTCGCACGTTTTGCAAAGTTATTCTTATATTGTATTAAAAGTATTAAAATTAATATATAAATAATTATAATATAATTAATAACTAATAAAATCACATAAAGTTCCCACTTTGTTGTTATAATATTTTCACAGCAATCTATTTTATTTTTAAGATGATAAGATTATTCTTATACACATTGTGTGATTATGAGAACTGATTGAAAATCAAGTAATTACTGTAATTTAAATGTTGCCTTGGGAATAATTGTCTAACAATGTTGTCAATATATTACTGATTAATTAACATTGATTTCTTATTTATTTATCACGATTGTAGTGATGAGACAATACTGATTACAATGCATTTGTCAAATGAATGATTGATTATTAACAACAAATATACTATATTTCAGACGGAGAAGTATTTCCTATTCTTCAGAGCAAACATGAAGTGAAAGAATTAGCGCTTTTTGTCGAAAATTGCTTTAAAACATCGGATGGACTCAGATATAGGCGAACACATGAAGACAATCATTATCGCAATCAACTTATATATAAATTAATTCAAACAATTCGTATCAATAAATATGTAATCAATTATTTGAGAAATAATATACAATAAAATAATTTTAATAATATTAATAAAGACTTTCAAAATGTTTATTATGTTTGATACATGTAATGCTTAAAATTAAGATAGATTTATAAATAAATAAAAGTTGCTATGTATCAATATTATACCTTGTCTAATACAAAATTCTGTGTAAATTATTATTATTCATGTATTCAAATAATTAATTTTTAAAAATATAACAATTTATTTAATTTTCACGCTTTATTTATTTAAACTTGTTATATTATTCTAACAAAAATCACTTTTTATATCTAAATGTCAAGGGTTTCAAAATAGAGATTGAAAAGCTAGTATTGGTATTGCAATACAATACAAACAACACAGAATATTGGTATTCCTATAGTAATACTAATACTGGTAATATTGCAATACTAGCAATATTGGCAATATTTTGTCACGTGACTATTTACTTGGGCCATGGACGATTTGCGAGACCCATAGTTACAAACTACGGTGTTTATTAAAGATATGGGTGAGGGTTCAAATGAGATTAAGTTAGGGCTGAATGTCTATTTTCTAGCTGTAAAACAGCGCATTAGACATTTATTAGTTATTTTTAATAAATTGGTTATAATTTTTATATTTAATTAATTAAATTATATAAATAAAAGCACAAGTTTTTTAATAAAAGTTTTTATAATTAGCAATTTATTAGGTTTATTATAATAATATAATGATTATATGATAAATAGTTCTTAACTAATAATTTATACACAAGTCATAACAAATATAAATTATATGATATGTATAATATAATAGATATATTTAGAAAGTCTTGACATAAAATATGGGATCAGATTAAGAGTTATAATAATGTGTTATATAGAGGTGACCGACCAGAACGTGATGGTAGACTCACTTATCTCTTTCGGAGGTACTGATTGATAGTTGCGGCCATCCTTTCAATGGTTTTGTGTGCCTCCAAGTCTTGCGTATTCGTCGATTCAATGGTCTCGAAGTTGAGCTTTCCTTCCAAACCCTTCACATTCATTGAGTTGACAACAAATATAGTTAGAAATGTTTGAAAATACAATGAAATGCAATTGTGTTACAGTACCTGTTCGGGCAGGAAGTATGCGTTTT